TAGTATATGAGTTTCTATAGTTTTACTTTATGTTTCTTTTATTCTCAGGCGGAAGCCACCAAACGCCCAGCTGACTGCTTAACTGGGCGTCTGGTTGCTTATCTAATATGGTAAGTAGTACAAATGAAACGGAGAATTATCCACGAATGAGCAAACGGATCAATCATTCTACTTACCATATGAAGGCAACCAAACACTTGCTTCTTCGAATTTCCCGCGCTCGAAAGTCAGAGGTGTCGGTGAGCCGAACTTTTGTTATCTTGTGTTAGAAATCGACTATACTATGGTGATAACGAAAATCCTTGTTGTTGGCTAATAAGTGGAAAAGATGCGAAATCTAAACACGACACAAGTAATCCTCTTCGTTGGCTGAAGAACAGCAAAAATTCCAAAGTGAAGGATATGTAATGAAGTCAATTTCAAGTCACTTCCAGAAACATTCTTAGTAAATAACAACAGATAAATACAAAAACACAACATAACACGAATGCCGGACTACGCTCTGTTACCATAAGACCCTCCGCGACCCTGCAAATCGAATTTTGAATCAACGCTGATGCATTACAAACAAAATAACCTCATGAATGCGCGAGTCACGACCGGCTCCTCCATATCCACCACGCCCGCGAAACCCATCACGACTGTCTCGGTCTCTGTAGTTGTCTCTCGGTGTATCTCGGTCGAAGCCACGTCCTCCCATTCGCCCGGCACCGCGGAAGCCACCTCTTCCGCCAAAACCGCTACTTCTGTCATTTTCGTAACTGTTTCTTTCTCGAAACGAAGAGTTAGATCCGAACGACGCGTTTTCCTTCTCGCAATGGTTACTACCCTAAAAGGTATTTTGGCATTGATATAAAAGCGTAAGACTCAAAGACTGATACTCACTGCAATCTGGTGGTAAAAACACAAAAAAACTAGAACTCACAAAGCTACCGAAGCTGGATCTCGCTGATTCAAAACCTCCAGACAAAAACTTTTTCTAAAACAATACTTCGAACTAGGATCAGGGATACAAACAATCTTTACCTGAACAGGAGTTGGTTTTTGGTCACCTTCTTCTGCCTTTTCTGCCTAGAATTTTTGAAATAAGTCGATTATCAAAACTCGATCAATTCTACTGCAGTTGAGAAATTGTAATCGTAAAATTAAAGGGCTATCGAAAGACTATTGATTTACTCAAACAATATAAAGAACGCCACATGTCGAAAATGTTTTTTTAGAATTTACAACCATTTGTGGATCATCGAAATTTCAAATATCGAGAAAAAAAACATGAGAACCTGCTCCTGTATAGG